TTGTAAGCTGGCCAAATAGAAATAAAAATTTCAAAATAGTATAGTATTTGCCAAGCAGTTCCAACTTTTTTAAAGACAACTGACACTCCTGGACTAGCGGCGAAAGTCTACATACGTTGACCACCTTGAACATAAAAGCTGTTACATTAAACTTTTTTGAATGATTGGAGTTTAAGCGACACGCACGCACTTTAATATTTATTCGGAATGCCATGGATCAATGTATAAAGCAAATAACGTTAATATTTAAGGAAAAACGTTAAGTTAAAAGTTTGTGAAAAGATCGATTTCAGGAGAATTTCCTTACTCTACATTATTTTCTCTAAATGTTTTTTTTTTTTGCAAACAGATCGTCAAATACGCAAATTGTTAAACCATAAAATTCTGAGTTTTAAATCTCCCCTTAAAGGGACTTAACAAATTTTGGCATAATTTGTTATACAATTTAAAAATGCAAAGCGAAAATTCTTATTTACTTAACACTGCACATACGATATGAAGCTTGTTTCTTGTTTCCAACGATGCTATATCGATTTTATGCATGTATTTGGAACGCGCGGTAGCCAATGCACCCAATGTCGTGAAAAGGGCGAACGTATATATGATCAACTAAAATCTTAGGGTTCCTCTTTGGATTGGTCCCATGTAGCCTTTACAATGGATCCTCAATTAGGCAAAGCAGTGACTAAAGCATTCGTTCGTTTGCATGAAGAGGGTTGCATATATCGAAGTTCTCGTCTAGTTAACTGGTCATGTACTTTACGTTCAGCTATATCTGATATAGAGGTGGAGAAGGTGGAAATATCTGGACGCACTCTTCTTTCGATACCTGGTTACTCCGACAAAGTGGAGTTTGGTGCCCTGGTGAAATTCGCCTATTGCGTAGAGGATTCAGATGAGGAGTGGCTACGACCCGCATAGAGACTATGCTTGGAGATACTGCGGTAGCTGTTCATCCAAATGACGAGCGCTACAAACACTTGCTTGGCAAATATGTTAAGCATCTTTTCTGCGATCGTCGCTTACCTATAATTGCCGATGATTTTGTAGATATGAATTTTGGTACTGGCGCGGTGAAAATCACTCCTGCTCACGATCTCAATGATTATGAAGTTGGTGAACGGCACAATCTTCCCTCTATTAACATATTTACGGATGAAGGTCGTATTGTTGGTGACTGCGGGAAATTCAGATTGATGAGACGTTTTGAATGTTGCAAAAAGATACTATTGGCTCTACAGGAATTGGAATTGTATCGTGGATATGATAATAATCCTATCGTTGTGCCGTTCTGCAGTCGCTCTAAAGATGTGGTGGAACCAAGGCAGTTCGTTCAGGTGAACTGAAAATTATTCCAGAACATCGTACGAAAATTTGGTACTATTGGATGGATGGTATACGAGATTGGTGCGTGTCGCGGCAACTGTGGTGGGGTCATCGCATTCCTGCATATTATGTAACTTTTAACGATGACACAATAATGGGTGGCACTGTATGTATAGCATGCTATGAATCCAATAATGAAAATTTATGTATGTCTTCCGTCTTTAGCGGGATAATAGTGATTATTGGGTGGTTGTTCACTCCAAGGCTGAAGTTTTACAAAAGGCTTCGGAAAAATTTCAAGTTGAAGTCTACAAAATTGTTTTGCAACAAGATGAAGACGTCTTAGATACTTGGTTCAGTCTGTTTCCATTTTCCGTATTTGGATGGCCTGATCAAACCGACGACTTAAAGACTTTCTTCCCTACTACTTTTTTGGAGACTGGGGACGATATTCTCGTCTTTTGGGTGGCTCGAAAGGTCTTTTTCAGTCAAAAGTTCCTGGGGCAGTTGCCTTTTATGGTACGCGACGCGCACGGTCGAAAGATGTCCAAATCATTGGGCAATGTTATGGACCCAATGGATGTTATCTATGGTATAACGCTGGAGGGTCTCCAAGAACAACTAATGGCATCCACTTTAGATCGCAAAGAGATTAAAACGGCCAACGAAGGCCTTACCCAAGGCTATCCTAACGTTTCATTGAGTGTTATAAATTATTTTAAAACTTTTGTCTCTGCGTATATTAAAAAGGTTTATGGTTTAAATTTTTTAAAATTAAAAAAAAAATCACGAAATTCTTTAGTTTACAAAGAAAATGATTTAACGTTGGCTATAGAACTAATTGGAGTTAATAGCAACTTTCGGTCGACTGAAAGTCTGCCAAGCAAGGCTAACAAGGCTTTATTAGACCCATTAAATACATACACTCTTAGCTAACTGACTTTGTCGACCTTAGTAGCGATGGTGAGTATACTCGCCAAACACGGTAGGTGGATAAGATGAAATTAGGTTTTGACGAAATGACTTCATAAAACGACAAAAACTTTGTGTAAAATAAGTTAGTAGATAAATATTCATTCGTAACAATAAAATTTAATGAAGAAATCTGGGAATAATGGACATAGGCAGTTAACTTGTTTATCGATGTGAAAATCTCGATGGGCATATTCTTGAAATAGCGTCAAGTGGCAGACACAGAGAGAGAGAGAGGAAATTAATGAAAGTAGTAGATTAAATGGGAGTTATGCATTTGTAAAACACACACATATATATATACATAAACAAACACATATTTTAAATTGGTATGAAAAATTTGGTCAATTTTGGTCAAATATTTGAAAAGGCATTATCTTGGTTATGCCAATTTGAAATCATTGTTCGAAGCAGAACGGTAATCTATCTTCTGTAGGCTTAGGCAAATTAACCGTACATCGACCAATTGTTTAAAAGAAATTTGGATAACAGCAATGTTAACGTCTCTATCGTGATCATTACACAGTTATCCGCGTTTGACAAGTACACGTCACTTACCGTTCAATAAAAAAACTCCAAAATTCCAGAAGTTGTAATATATCTGTGTGTATATGTCATTTAGTGACAATATCTTTGTGTGATAATATCAATAAGCTCGTTATAAATTAAAGAGAGGCAAGGAGAACTAGTATAATGAGTCATGGCCCACCAGTAAATACTTTACACCTTGCTACAGTTATAAATAACTGCAGGGCAACAAATTTCCTCAAAATATTTCGAACCTCATCTGCGGTCTGCAGGTTGAACAAAAAAACACAAACATGGATGGACTGACAAATTTAAATCGAGAGATGTATTAAAAGATGGATCTATTCCGAATCCTTCAAAAGTGATGTGAGGTATAATTATGTTCAATTCGCCTCTTCAGCACATCTCTCCCCCACTTTATACCAGCTACCCGTTCGCTCATAAAGTGCCTACATGGAGTCGATCTTCCTGCCGCCCCATTTTCTCTTCTACTTTGCTGCAACGTATACCACACGTAAATTAAGTGAAATGTTTAAAATGTTTTTCTTTTCAATTCTTCCTGCTTATTATTAATTGTATTATATTTTTGACAACTTTCGTTTTTCTTATGACAATACTTTGTTTAACAATGACTTGTCATTTTCTTATCTAATAAAAATGAAATCTTTTTTGTTTTACTCCCAATGTGCGCCCATGAAATGCATCTTGGAATGAAAGCAAACTTGGATTAGACGCCTGGGTGGGCAATTTCTCATAGGCGATTGAGTATCTTCGTTAGTGAAACAAGGATCTTCGCCTCGCTTCTTTCGCATATAAGTGATAAATATATTTTTATAAGCATCCTCGTTCACAAACGAACCGCACATCATAGTACTTACATTATCTAATCCCTTGGAAGCTACGTCTTTAAGAATATTTTCTAGTTTCATTGCTCAATCCTTACTCAGAAAGTAACTCAATGCTGGACGATTGACTAGAGTTTTCACATTCTTAGAGTTATTAAAAACTCGTAAGAGACTGGAATGATTATAATCTAATAACATCGAACCTATTTGCATAAACGTGTCCAGCATAACATTGCCATCTACATCCCATAAATAGTTTCCGCAGTTTTTGCGTTCGCGGGTATATTTACCGTGGACTGACACACGGATGAGATCGTTGGAAACAAACGTACCTAGATCGATTTAGAATTTAACAATGGTTAAGATTATATCCACTTTCTAAAATCTCTGAGGATTATTTGTGACCATTGAAAACATTTTGACAGAGCGAACATATTTCCATTCGTTACGGTGGTGTAAAGATGGCTTCTGCTTTTCGGGTTACCGCAGGTTCATCATACACCAACACAAAAGCGGATGGAAACCGTTGAAACCGTTTTTACAAAGTGACCATTCTCTTGTTGTGGTGCACGTAAAAATAGATTTTGGTTTCTGATTTTTTAAGCAAAATTTAATCTCACCGTATATTTTTGCAAAGCAATGTTGGTAACCCTTTATTTTATTATATTTAAGTCTTCTCGCTTTCTTGCATTTCCTCCAATTGTAGCGCGTTTAGGCAGTTCTTTTTCCACACTGTTAACATTTAAATTGTAATGGACATTGTATAGGCTATGTTCGATAAGTTATATGTTTCGTTTTATCTCGGTAGCTCGGCGTTTACTCTTTGTTACAGCTTTTTATCATCGACCATCACTTACAAAACTGCAAGCCGACGATACTCTTATAGGCCATAACAAATGATCCCACTAATATCATTTTTGCATCCAATCAATAAAACAATTTCCAAAACATACGCAAACAATGGATTCTTTTTCGTAACAGCGGCGTTTCCTTTTTAAGCGGCACGTGCATCAGTCTTTTTCTTTTTCTTGAAACATTTTTGTCCGGTTTTTGAAAAGTTTAATTTTAGAGCCATCAAAGAGATTAGGGAAAGAGTTTTGGAGAAAACTAAGTAATGTGGTTAAGTGAACGACTTAATACTTGTACTAAAGTCAGCGGTTGAGATTGTCAACTTCAGATAATGACCTTTTATGTTTTACTTAATTGAATCCTTTGATATTTTCGTTATTTTTATTTCACAGATTTTATTATTAGTTTAAAGTTAAACAAAAAAAAATTTTTTTTTCTCTTTAGTTTTAAGAAACATTTCACTTAGGGGTTGCGCAGGTATTATCGCTAAATTGGCTTGGACTGTCGTCGTCAAAAGATAATAAAAATTTTATTTATATGTTTAAGTTTACATAGTTCAATAGAAGATAAGTGTTTTATACTTCTTCAAGTTTATTTAGCTACTTATTTATGTATTAGAAGAGTTTAGATATAAAGCTGCTGTTGTTGTTGTTGTCGTGAATATTTTTGTTTGTTCAATGGCAGTTGAAGCATTAATATCGATTGAGGAACAGCTATGATGGTCGTGGTCGTGGTGGCTGTCGTCCCCATCTATAAAAAAAAGAAGAAAACTGACTTGCACTTGAAACTTATAAACAGAGATAGTTAGTTGGCCATAATACCGAGAATTTGTAGATATGTGTTTACGATGTATGTGAATATACATTCGGTATATGATAGCTTTTATCTTGATAATAATAATAATACAATGTATACCGACTTTATGATGAATATAATAAATTAATGTTACGTTTTATTTAGCCCAATGGCTTAGAATACTAATTGTTTTGTGACTCTTTGTTAAATTGAGGGGAACTATTAACTCTGTATTTATCTCATATGTATTTACTGAACTCACCCAATAGTTGCAGGCCAAACATTAATATAAAACCGGTTAACAATGCTGCTAAGGTGGCCAAACCACTATGGTGTTTTGATAATATTTCAAAAAATATTACATACAATAGGGTGCCGCAGGCTAAACCTTGTAAAATCGCTGACAAAATGCTTTCCTCACTTGCATTACCATTATGACTAATAAAAATTCCGATTAAAATCCCGAGAGGGCTAACGGTCGCAAATGTTAAGGTGTAGATTATCGCTAACATTGATTTGGTACGAGCGACGATTAGCTCTACACTTACGCAAAAGGCTAAAACCAATTTATGAGCTGAAACGGCCGCAAATAAGAACCAGACCGAATTGGTCGAATCTTCCAAACCAATGGCCAAACCCTCAAACACTTCGTGCAGCGATAAGGCTAAAACTATGAATAATCCACGAAAAGATGAAGTGATTACATCTTCATTTTTTCCATTATGATTTAACGGCAAATGACTATGGCCGGGCGTACAATGATCTGAACAATGTTTACCAGGTTGTAGCGTGTTCTCAACCGACCGTTCGTAATCGTTATGATGATGGTGACCATCACTTGAAACTTTGCCGTTACTTTCGTTCACATTGTGCGCGACATTAAATAAATTATTTTCGCTTTTCATTGTTTCTTGAGCCACTCTAACAGTAACGAAATCATTTTGGCCGCCATTACTGCTAACACTGTTAATTCTTTCATTTTTATTTAAACTTTGATTATTTTCATTTCTATCCTTAACTAAAGCACTATTCCTTATGCTGTGCCCACGTTCAAAAGCCGCTTCGGCTCCGTTATCTTTCAGTTTGTTGCTTTTAGATCGATGCAAATACCGGTAGATGGCTTCCTCGATAAGATACATGAAGAAAAACCCTGCACACATTAGCATCTCTGGTATGGCGAAAGGTACTTGAGCAATTTCACCGCATTGTTGTAAATGGCTTACGACTTCTTGTACTTCGGGCAGTAAGTGCACGAAGGTCGTTGCCAGTAAAACGCCGCCACCGAAATATAAAAGGCATTGAACTGTCTTTGCTGAGCGCGCATTTGCCGTCCTGTCGGTCCATTTGTAGTAACGATTCAGCATATACGGTATTGAGCCGAATAGTAGAGTTGCTATTAGCATACTGACCATAGCCAGGCATTTGGCCGTAAGTAATTCCGAGCTGGACGATGATGTTGCATGATTATGTTCGCTCATTATTTTAATTAATTAATAATACACGTCTTTACACCTAAACGTTTTATTTATTACTACTTTTCTTTTCTTAAATTATTTTTACCGTTATATCACAGAAAAAAAATTTTTTTTTATAACAAATAACACTGAGTGAAGTTAAAACTGTTATCTATTTTTGTTTGTATCAACAGCGAAACAAAAAAATTTAAAAAAAAGATATATATTCGGTTGTCACTTATGAACTGTTAGGCGTATATAGATGTACAAGCAATAGCGTATTTATTTAAGTATGCCACCTTATGTTCAATATTTATATGTTAAAATCTGCCGCACGCGAACATTTGTGCAAACACCAGACGTCATAAACGTAGCTGACATACTAAGCGCAACGAGAATTAAGTAAGTTACTAAAGTAACTAAAGTAACTAAACAAGTATGTTATTTGTTACCCAACTCGTGTTGATGTTAAGACTGCACACAGCTAGTTCTCTAAGGGTGTGTTCTGCACTTGCATGGTGCTGTAAAAAACTTAAAACTAATGAACAAAAAGAAAAAAAGCTTTACTTGTCTTGAGAGCGAAACTTGAAAGCCCACCACCACCTTAACCAAAAGTACAATACAATATAAAAGTGAGAAAATTTCACTATCAATTTCAGGCGTGCCTGCTGACCGATCGTCATCGCTTTTATGCCAAACTTTTCAAAAAATTTATGATAATTTGTACAAAATTCCTGAGTAATATTTCTGTTAAGGATTCCAAGTAATTTAAAAAAAGAAATATGCCGAAAATTTGGAGGATTTTCACAGTTTTTTCGTTGTTATCAATTTCTTTTCTTTCAAGCTTGCTAATGCAAGAAATTGAGAAGGCTTGGCGAAAGATACATGAATAGTCCGACGTGTAGGAAGATAGGCAAGTTGGAAGGCAACGAAAGGGAGGAGGAAACGGAAAGATATAGAGGGCAGAGATACGTAAAGGCGGACAAGCAAACGGACAGAAAAGAGAAACAAGCGAATGGTCTTAGAAATTGATAACCAATGGAACGATTGCGCGATAAGAACATTCATTCAGTCATTGCATAGGCAAATAAACGCAGGATTTGCCGTACGAATAGGTGAACGGGCGAACGTGAACTTAGATGAATGGGAATTATGGGAGAGAAAGAAACGTACGACCGTATAACCGATGACGAACAAAAACGTGGATAAACTGAGAAATACAAAAACGTTCACTTGAAAGAACAAGCGAATGATCTGAGAATGAACCTGTAGTATAGAGCAAACATAAGTGCACTTTATATAACCTATCATATGGCTCTGAATAGTATAAACTTTATGACGAAATTAGTATACCTACGCCTATACTTAGTGGACATAAGTATAAATTTTATTAAAATGAAATCATATGAAACGTTCTTGAATATGACTTTCAATATATAAGTGACAATAAAGCGGCCTATATTAACGGCTCAAATTACTTAAGTACTTAAGCGATAACTGCGGAACAATTGTAAACCTATATATTTTATATAACAAAAACCAATAAATTCATTAACTTTTTGTAGTTTACTTTTTTATATATAGAATATCGTCTAATCGAACATATGATTTATTTCAATGAGGGAGAGGTAGGGAGAGGAAAGAAATTAAAAATGAAATTTCCGTCCTTAAAATAATAGAGAAATTTGTGCAACAGATTTGTTGAACTTCAAAGATATATCTCGTTTCGCGAATTTAATCTGAAGGTAGCCGTTGACATACATGATTCGAATTGTTCTAAAGAACTTCGTACTGCCATTTTTTGCCATTACTGCTATTACTATTCATACTTCTTCGTACTACGATTACAGCAAGTGACCTTTCAGGTTTATCTATGTATCTCGTGCTAGCATATTTCTACCTAATGTGATTTCTTACATACTTGTACAGGGTGTCACAAAATTAACTAATCGCGAATAATTTTCCAACTTTTCACAACTCAACAACTACATTTAAGATATAGAATAAAAGGATATCAAATGTCACCCTGTCAACGAAATAACAAATTTTTGAGGATCATTACATCTTGGTCTTTAAGATTGTTTGATTAAGGTTTGACAACGCTGATTATGCTTTCTTTAATTAACGAAAATGAAGAAGAAATTCACCTCAACCATGGTGACATTCTTTATTTGTCAGTTCTTGCTTTGGTAAATTCTATGAAAACCAGTGATGATATTAATGCAAGCCAACGCTAACGCGATCATTTGTCACACAAATTATATCGCTCATAACCTGCAAGGTATTAGTTATCTAGCAGAGCAAAAGTTTATCAGTTATCAAAAAAAAAAATAAAACAATATTTCATAAACTTTTTTTTTTATGTCAACTCCTTTCGAAACACCCTTTATATACATGATTTTGTATAGATACAGTGAAAGACAAAAGTTAACATATATCCGAAAATTTTTCAATTTTTCAGAAATCTATGGCTTGAAATAAAAGCCGCTTAAATAAAAGTAAAGCTTTTAATTAAGCAGCTATTTTTCCTAAACGGCTGAATGCGAACACGAAAACTAACTTTCAGTTACGTGATTACCTCCAGATGCATTGTGTTCATTGGTATTAAATTTTCATTTCTCTTGATTGACATTATTGTTCTTCTTGAATTGATGTCTTCTTTCATTTTCTTAACAATACGGTTGATTTTGCCGGCTCTTTTCTGAAATTCTGCCTGTCTGTCGTTAATCGGAAGAGGACCTACAATTGAATTAACGCGCCAGTTAGTGATAGTCGTGAAATATATTTGCTGTTCACCGAAAGTTACATTCATCCAAATTTCACTTTAGTTTTTATTGCAAATTTCTGGTATCGAACTCACTCATGACCGATACATACATGTTTTTAACAAAAATTTTTTAATTATGTAAAAATTTTAAATTTCATGTGTGCATGTCTACTTTCGTTTTTGACTGTATATAAACGATTGCATTCTGTTGTCAATGAAACATAAATATGAACTATGGAAAAAATCATTCGTCTTATCTAGTACTAAAAGTTTTCTAAATGAGAATTTGGTCACCTCACAAAAGAGCAATTAAAAGACAAAAAAAGTGAGAAATTTTTGATTATAAATATTTATTTAAATCCTTCATTCCTGTATTTTCTTCATTCAAATCGGTAGCTACAGTCATATGAAAATTTAATGTAACATTAATAGATTATTTAAATTATGGAGTAACTTGTTGAATCGATTTAAGTTTGTCTGTCCGTCAGTCTGTCGTTCTTGTTTTCTTACAGTATGTTCGCCCTACAGCCTGAAAATTTTTGAATTATTTTGATGAAATCTAACACAAAGGTATGCTTTGGTTTAAGGACAAATTCTATTGAAATTGCTTCGAATTTGACTACTTATAACGCTTTATACTGCAATGTCAGTGTAATTGTGGCTGACTAATAGTATGTTGACATTGTAAATTTTTTTTTGATAGTTTATGATGGAAAGTGGGTCGTAAAAGTAATTTGACATAAAACTTAACTGTAACAAATTTCGATCAAGTAGATCTGTTTTGTGGACATCATCGTTTTTAATATTTTATAATGAAAATTGCTGCTTAGTAATTTAATCGTAGGGGATTTGAAACACATATATATTTGAAACACAAATAATTTATAATCTGTTGTGTTAACACGAAAATAAATGGTAAGGAGAGAGCATCTAATGGTCGGTCTTGTCAGAGTATATTACTTTTAGTTGAGGTTAGTTCTAGTTGACAAAAGACCGTTGTGAATTGAATTCACAGTGCATTCTCACTTTCGCTTAACTTGTTATGTGTTTCCGAAATATCTTTTGCTGATGTACCATACCAGTCGAAGTACTTGGATGTAATCTGATAAAGTAAAGAGTTATAGTTAAGAATAAGCTAAGAAGTCTTTGGCCTGTCACTTGTACTGCAGCACTGTTAATAGACTCAAACGCTTTCTGGATAGTGCCAATACAATGGTGTGTTAAGCGTGTCATGACTGCAAATAAATTATACAACCATTTAGAAAACAATCTTTCGTTTTTAGAATGTGCATAGTACAAAATAGTTTCCTAAGAAAACGATTTTTTTTGGTCATCTCGATTAATTTTGTGACACATCGATTTATTATGAAAGACATTTTCAATAAGAATCTTTTAATGAATTCATTAAAGCGACGAGATTTCCATGCGAACTCTTCTTCTTTAAAATAATATGATGAAAATAGAAATCCCACACACAGTAGTAGGTTTTCTTTGAATAAATTTTATCATCTTTACGAGTAAAAATACCCATGACGTTACTGCTGTGAGAAATTGCAATTTATGCGGTATTCGATTTTAGTACAACAAAACGACTTAATTAGCTGCGCGTATATAACTTTAATAAAAGAAAATAGTAGGGCGACAGGAGAAGAAACAGGTAATTGGATGATACAGAAAAAGGCGTATGTGAACTGACTCACCGCAGAGACCGAGACAGAGAGCCTGCATTGTGTACTTTTCAGGGAGAATAAAATATAAGATTTTTTCTTTGTTTATGAGTTTTTGATCGCAGCGTTTTTTTTTCGAAAAGTTGCTTGAAAAGTGGTTTCAAGTGGTATAAGAGAGAAAAATTCCATTTTTTATCCGGCTAAAGTACTCGCTTACAGCGATGTATTGGCGTGAGCGTCGCCAGATGTATTTTAAATAAGATTTGTTATTTGCTTATTTTAAACGAAACCTAAGCTTTGGTTATGTTAGAAATGCTTTTAATTCAATAATAATTAAATATTTTTAAAGCGTTGCAAAAAATATTTCATTGCAGCCGATATCTGGCTAAAATTAGTACATAACTGGTATGTGTGGGCGGGAGCTTCCAAACATATCTGGAGACTCTCAGCAGCATATAGCGAAAGGCTTAGATACTCAAGGGCCACGAACTTATGCCCAAAACTCCAGCTCTCCAGCATCGGCATAATGTGGTTTGTGTTATACTTATGCACAGATATGTCAAATATCCAGAGAAAAAATAGATCTATCACCGCGCCTGAAGTCTTCATTTTTGAAACGAATGTTCAAGAAAACCACTCCATTTTATAGATAGAAAGAGTAGTGTATACCTGACATTCGTTTATGAGTACAAAATTTGCGAAATAATAGATCAAGGCAACGATTCGTAGTTTTTTTTCAATACAATTCAAAGTTTTTTATTTGTTATTTCAAATAAATTTTTTCCCTTATTTAATAAGCTGAATTTTTGGCCGATTTTGAACATTTTTCATTGAGCTGTTATATTCGTATGATAAATAGTTGATTTCGTAGGTGTCTCTAATGAAGGTATTAAGTCGCTGCGTATGTAAAGCCATATTTTCACAAAACGATCCTGGATATTTATT